GCTTTTTGCTGTAAACACTGTCTTTTAAGAGGAAATACAGTGTTTACATTACAGCCTAGTGATAACTTCACTGGCCACTCCTCAGATGGCTGTTAGAGATCCTTCCTGGGTCATGGCTGCCTAAAATGCATCCAAACATTCAGTATCTCCTCCCTCTGCATGCAGACACTGAACTTTCCTCATAGAGATTCATTGATTTATTTCATCTCTATGAGGAGATGCTGATTGGCCAGGGCTGTGTTTGAATCATGCTGACTCTGCCCCTGAGCTGCCTCCTTGTCAGTCTCAGCCAATCCTATGGGGAAGCATTGTGATTGGATCAGGCCACCACTTCTAATGATGTCAGCAGACAGGTTTTGACTATTGACTATTCTGATTCAAACAGCATGCAGAGCTACAGCTTCAGTCTTGAATACAAGTAAGATTTTGCTATATTTATGGAGGCATGAGGGGCCCAGGGGGCTAGATGGTGGTTTTAACACTATGGGGACAGGAATACATGTTTGTGTTCCTGACCCTATAGTGCTCCTTTAAGTTGCACAAAGTATGTGGGCTGTCAGAACAACTGTGATTTTACGTGAATGTACGATGAGGTCATTAATTAATTGTTGTTGCTTATTGTTTTCCAGCATCTGGGTTGTTACTTGTATTACTCTTTCTTCCGTTCTCTATATTCTTTCATCCATCAATTTTATAGACACATTAATGGAGCCATTTTACACTTATTGATTCAGCAGCAAAAAAGACTAAACCCACCAACATCGTCACCTTTCAACTATTTAACAAACACCTTGAAAATTAGCAAACAGTTTGCACGTGAGCAGAACACACACACTCCTGAGCTGAAGATATTTGGAAGAAATGTCGCCAAACTTATACAAATGATACAGGCTTGATCAATGTCTGCGTGTTAGAACACAAAAACAAACTTGTACACTTTACCCTAAATGAACAACCTTAAAGAAACACAAGTATCAATGTCTGTTCAGAACACACCAGATTAGTGAATGACGTGCCACCTTTTATAATCATTAAACCACTAACATGGAGACAAGTAGGTCGGCCA